TCATCATTAAATATAACATTAACTGTAGGTTTCACAGATTCTCTTTATCAAGCTGACAAAATTCCCCTCTTGTCCTAATTTCTGTTTTTATAATGAACAGATCTTGCACTGCTTTTATGCTCAAGAAATTTTTTCCTGCTAAGAGTGAATACCCTATTCACAACTATTTTTTTTCTAGTTTTTAAGGTTCTTCTCCTCCATCCTTAGCTATTTAATATACCTAGGGTTATTCTGATGTTAATATGTACGCTCTTACTTCTGCTCTGGCAATAATGAAGGCATGAGGATTCCCCTGTTAAACAACTAGAAAATCAAAAGATATGAAGAGCCAATTTTCAAACATTACATAACAAAAGTAGTCATGGATCCTGAGAAAAGGGAAGCAGGGCCCAGTGGTCTCACAGAGCTTGGAAGGCAAAGTTCAGGGAGACCAGAGCAGTGAGAATATATAGGGAAAAATACTGGAAGGAAAGGAGCTTCGCAAAGAGAGCTCCAGAGATCTATAGAGGGAACTCCTAATGTTGTTAATTGTGTTCAGATCTGTGCAGATATGGGATAAAACTAACCAGGGCCAGGAAAAGAAATGATAAAAGCATTAGGCCTGTAAATTCCTGGAGCTCACACATGGCTAGGAACAGTTCACATCCTTACCAGCCAAAGTGGAAAGACCTTGTGAAGCATCACGCAGAGTCCAGAGAAAGATGCTGCTTTACTAACAGGGCTAAATTAGCCACAGAATTAAAGTTGCTTTGGACCCACTCTAACAAACCTTAAAAACAAGCACTGAAGGATCCAACTGATTTCTGGTAACTTAACTGTGTATTAGAAAGAAGTCCAACATTAAAGTACTAAGACAAAATCTAGCATTCCACAATGTAAAACTCACAATACCCATCATCCAATCAAAATTTACCAGGCATGCATAAAGGGCAGGAAATGAGGACCTATAACAAGGAAAAAAATATCAATAACTAGGAAGAGATCTAGAAATGACACAGAAAATAAGATTAGCAATCAAGTCTGTTAAGAAAGCTGTTATAAATATGTCTCATATGTTCAAGAAGGTAGAAGAAAATATGAATATAAGAGAGAAATGAGAGACATAAAAAAAACCCAAACAGAACTTCTAGAGATGAAAATACAATATCTGAGATTAAAAACACACTGAATGAGACTTAGGGCAGATTATATACTAGGAAGAAAAGATTAATAAAGCTGAAGACATAGGAAAATGATCCAAAATCAAGCATGATGGAAACAAAAGACTGAAGGGGAAAAAAAAAGAGGCCATATGTGACCTGTGGAACAATATAAAAAAATCTAACAAACATGTAACTGGAGAATCAAGAGAGCACAGAAGTTCAAGAGAACTATCTCATGAATGAAACAATGGCCAAAAATAGATCAAGAATCTAAGCTTCCACCTTAAGAAACTAGACAAAGAATGTCAAATCCTAAGTAAGCCATAGAAATCAATGAAATAGGAAATAAGAAAAAACCCGAACCACAGCATAGTTCTTGAAAAGATCAACAGTGTTGATAAACCTCTGATCAGTCTAATCAGGAAAAAAAAATTACAAAAAGGCCCAATTACCTATATCAGGAGAAGAACAGGACACATCCTTATAGATCTTACACATATTAAATAAATAGTGGAATATTATAAATAATTTTATACTAATAAATTTGATAATGAGAATAAAATATGTAAACTAATTGAAAGATACAATCTATCAAAGTTCACTCAAGAAGAAATAAACTGATACAGTGCAATTCATGTTAAGAAATTAAATTCAGTCATATAAATCTTGCCACAAAGAAAACTCCAGGCCCAGATGGTATCACTGGAGAAATCTGCCAGACATTTAAGGAATAAGTAAGTAATCCTACACAAACCCTTCTTTACAAAAAAAAAAATCAGTATAATTCACTAACTTAAGTCACCAAAACAGAAAAATAATATGATCAGTTCATGTGATTAACAAAAAGCATTCATAAAATCTCAATACCTATACATGATGAAAAACTCTCAGCAAAGTAAAACCAGAAGGAAGCTTCCTCAACTGAAAAAGAACATCCATGATAAACCAAGAGCTCACATCATATTAATGGAGAATGTGTGAGCACTTTCTACCTAATATCAGGAAAGCAAGGATGTTTGCTTTCACCACTTCTATTCAATATTGTGCAAGGAAGTTCGAGCCAGTGCAGTAAGCCAAGAAAAGGAAAAGACCTATAGATTAAAAAGAAGTAAAACTGTCTTATATAAATAATTTGAGACTGTCTACATAGCAAGTTTAAAGAAATTTAATCTTAAAAAATCTGAAGAAAAAAAAGGAAGCTACTAGAAGTGTGTTTAAGAAAGTCACAGGATACAAGATCAGAAAACAAAAATAAATTGTGTTTCTACACAGATAGCAATAAGCAATTTAAAAAATTTTAAATATCACTTATGATATAAAAAATATGAACTTTAAGGATAAATTTACAAAATATGTATAACACCTAAATACTGAAAACCATAAAACATTGCTGAGAAACTAAAGAGCTAAATAAATGGAAAGATAAAAATGTTAATGGGATTGGAAGATTCAATATTGTTATGATGTCAATTTTTCCATATTGATCTAAAGAATCATACAATGCCAATCAAAATCCCATCAGGTTTTTTTTTTTTTTTTTTTTGTAGAAAGTAACATAGAGCCTCTTGATGAAAGTGAAAGAGGAGAGTGAAAAAGTTGGCTTAAAGCTCAACATTCAGAAAACAAAGATCATGGCATCTGGTCCCATCACTTCATGGGAAATATATGGAGAAACAGTGGAAACAGTGGCAGATTTTATTTATTTGGGCTCCAAAATCACTGCAGATGGTGACTGCAGCCATGAAACTAAAAGACACTTACTCCTTGGAAGAAACGTTATGACTAATCTAGACAGCACATTAAAAAGCAGAGACATGACTTTGTCAACAAAGGTCCGTCTAGTCAAGGCTATGAATTTTCCAGTAGTCATGTGTGGATGTAAGAGTAGGACTTATAAAGAAAGTTGAGCGCAGAAAAACTGGTGCTTTTGAAGTGTGGTGTTGGAGAAGACTCTTGAGAGTCCCTTGGACTGCAAGGAGATCCAACCAGTCCATCCTAAAGGAGATCAGTCCTGGGTGTTCATTGGAAGGACTGATGCTGAAGCTGAAATTCCAATACTTTGGCCACCTGATGTGAAGAGCTGACTCATTTGAAAAGACCCTGATGCTTGGAAAGATTGAAGGCAGAAGCAGAAGGGGACGACAGAGGATGAGATGGTTAGATGGTATCACCAACTCAATGGACGTGAGTTTGAGTAAACTCCAGGAGTTGGTGATGGACAGGGAGGCCTGGCATGCTGCGGTCCATGGGCTCACAAAGAGTCAGACATGACTGAGCGACTGAACTAAACTGAACATACTGATTTTAAATTTATATGAAGGGCCCAAAATTACAAAAATAATTTTGGAAAAAAACATAGTTGAAGAACTTGCCTTACCAGATTTCAAGACAATATAAAGACATTGTGATATTAGTATAAGTATAGACACAAAGATCAATGAAACAGAAAAGAAAATCCAGAATACACCCACCTATACATGGTTAAATGATTTTTCCATTTTCCAAAAGGGAAGGGTTGGTTGATTTCCAATCAACACACCAAGATAATTAAATATAACAAAATAAACTGGAACAATATCAATATGGAAAAATATTAACCTCATCCTGATACTGCACACCATATATAAAAACTAAAAAACAGATCATGGGCCTAAAAGTAAGAGCTAAAACCATACAATTCTACAAGAAGGCAGAAGACTTTGGTAACTTTGAGTAAGGCAAAGATTTCTTAAAAGCCCACAAAGAGAGTGAATCATAAAAGAGAAAATGAAAAACTACACTTCATCTAAATGAAAAAAAAAAAATTCTGGTCTTTGAAAGATACCACTAAGGAAATTAAAAGGCAAATCACAAATTAAGAGAAAATATCTGCACAATTCATAACTGACAACTTATATCTAGAAGAAACTCTTGCAACTCAGTAAGAATATAACCAACTCAAGAAAGTGGCACACAGTGTGAACAAACACTTCACCAAAGATATCAGGTGACAAATAAGTACATGAAAGAATGTTCAACATCACTAGTTACTAGGGAAATCCATACTACACTCACAAGCTAGATACCACTACACACTCACTAGAATAGCTAAAATTAAAAAGACTAATGATGCCAAGTGATACCAAGGATGTGGAATGACTGCAATTCTCATACACTGCAAAATGGGAAGGTAAAATTATTTTAGAATAATCAATCTGCTTTCCAAAGTTGAAGATACACATATAAAACTCAAAAATCTCATTCTTAGAGATATACCAAAATAAATACAAATATATGTTCCAACAAAAGTGTGTATGCAAAAGTTCATAGCAGCTTGATTCATAATAGCTCAAAGTTGGCAGCCCCAAAGTTTCTAAACTGGTAAATGGAGAAATAAACTATACCCAGACAACATAACACTACTCTGCAATTAGAAGAAAGAACTACTAATACACTCAACACATGCAAAAGCATTACACTTAAATCAATGAAGCCAGAATACAAAAGAACATGTTGCAATATGACCCATTTATACAGAAAAGGTAAAGCTAGAGGGACAGAAAGCAGTTCAGTTGTTGCCAGGGCAGAAGGGGATTAGCAGCAAAGGGGATGGTAACTTTCTGCAATGATGGAAATATCATGACTATTTCATGACTGTGGTATAATTATACAACTCTACATATCTGCAGAGCTCCAGTTGCGCAATCGGTTAGCGCGCGGTACATATAATACATATCTGCAAAACTTACCCAACTATACACTTAAAATTGATGAACTGTGTATATCTTATACCTCAGTAATAAAGCTGATTTTAAAAATTCTGTTAAGATCTCTTTTCTGGGCTGATGGTTAACAAAGAAAGAAGAAAACACTGTTTACCTTCCCAGTCCTCCATATAAGGGGCCTCCTCAGCTTCTTTCTCTGGAGTGGATCTATCAATGAATTTCCCTTCTTTCATGACCCTGGTGATTTCTCGGAGCTGATGCAGCAATCGTTTTTCTTGGTCAGAAGTCACAGTCTGTGCTCTGCTTACAAACAGCAGACAATCCAGCTAGTTAGTAGTAAATACTCCTAGGCAATGAACATAAACATTACTATGATCTGTCTGGACTCTAGAATAGGAAGTTCAATAGCAACAGATAATTACTCTAGGAATTGATTCTGGAACTGCATAGATGGGGACCAGCGATGTTAGTTCAATGTTTTGATTTTATAAATAGGAAAACTAAGGCCTAGAACAGAGCAAGTGATTGTCCGAGGTCCCAGAATGATTTAATGTCAGTTCTGGGACAAGACCCCAGATGTCTCAGCCTTCAGGTTCTTTCACAGTACACCTCACTGCCCCGATTCCCTATCCTCAAGCGGTTTCACCATTACTTACATTACTCCATTTACTACAAGCCACTTTTCTCTGAAGAAATGTCATCAAAAGAAAATGTGCTGGACAACTCGCCTCAATGAGGGAAAAATATGCTACTAGGCCAACCCTAGAATTGCCAGGCTGAGCCTCCTTGTGCAGAAATAAAGACATATCCTAAAATGTGAGAGCTGGATCATTCTGACAAATCATCTAGACCAAAGGAATTGGGGAAACTGAGGCCCATGGAGAGGAAGTTATATATTTATTCATATTGTTAGTTGATGTCAGCACTCTACCTAAAACTAGTCTCCTAACTTGTAAAAGCATTCGGTGCAATTCCTGAAGCACAGTGCTCAAGTTCCACAGTTTAGAAAACCTGGATGTGATCCCCTCATCAGCTGTGTTGGCTCTGGGGAAATGCTTGCATGAGTAAGATGAGGCTCAAGGATAATACGTGACTATTTGAGAGGGAAGCGCTGCATCGTATCGACAGGCAGGCAAAGCCCCACTCGGAACACTGAGAATTGTCTGCTTTGGGGCCAGTTTTATCTACTGGCAGGATTTAACAGAGGCTACTTATTCTCTTAAAACCCCAAAGCACTTGAAGTCAATGTAACACTCATGAAGATGAAGGAAATGATATGTTCTGTACCAGCCTCATGGAGGTGTCACCAATCTTTCCCAGTCCCAAGCCTATGTTTCTTTCTGCATTTAACCTACATTATGTTACCCTTAATGACTGACAGGGAAGAAGAGAAAACTGCTTCTCCTGTCAACATTAAGATGTTAACTGAGGAAAATGTAGGTGCAAGATTTTTACAATCTCAGTGGGAGGAAAATAAAAACCCCAGGAGCTCCACTTTTTCTACAATAAATGGTCTCAAAGCTATGAACTGAGGAAAGCCTGTCTATCCTACATGCATGTGAACAACTGCTTGATACTTTCCATCAGCAGAGGAGTCCTGACTCACCTTAACTACTCATCTGTTCTATAACCCCTAACTCTTATTGTTATGACAACTCATTTTGTGGGAGGCTTCTGGGGTAGTTGGGTCACCCTTAGCTCAAAGAGCCTATGTGATTATCACAATATGTTGCATGTTACTTCTCTGGACTGTACTTAGTACATCCTGAATTTTACTGAATGCAACAGTCTTAACTTTGTTTTCTAATTCACGGAAAATCAGAGCCCTTAATTAAAAGGGATATGGATAGGCTAAGAAAAGCAGAAACAGAAGAGAGCAGCTTTCTTAGAGAATTCCAAACTAAAGTGTCCTCAAGTGTACTCAGTGTCTCTATCATGCATTAGGCAATTAATCACGGTCCACTTTACATCTTCTGAATTTATTGCAATAAGCACTTTCATGGATTCCTCATTGTCTCAATTTGGTTTGATAATCCTGGATGTCAAAGGTAAGTTCACTACAGTATAGGCACACTGCCATGAACATTTTAACTGCCCAATAAATGTGTTAGCTTGACTGGTCCCCACTTCCTCACCGTCCATTTTCTTCTACCTCCCTGAAATCTGGCTGCCACTCCATCATTTTACCAAACCTTGTGAAAATCAATGACCACTTTATTTTTTTCCCCTTTTGTCACACAGTATACAGGACCTTATTTCCCCAACCAGGGATCAAACCTGTATTCACTGCAATGGAAGCATGGAGTCCTAACCACTGAATCACTAGGGAATTCTCCAACGACCACTTTACTCTTAAGTCCAAAAGTCTTTTTATCACATTTCATTCTTCTTCACTTCTCTGTACTACAGTCCATCTTCTCCTTGAAATGTCCTCCTCTTACAATATGGTTTTCCTGAAGGCTCAATCCTAGGGCTCCTGTTTATCCACTCCTATAGGTATGTACTCAGGAAGCAGAGCCAATTCACAGACTAAACCATCACTTCTACATACATGATGTTCAGACTCTACCTCTAATCTTGACTTCTTACACAAAGGCCAGTCTCATAACTCCAGTTACCTCCTGGGCATTTCTACTTGGGAGGCCTTGTCACTATACTAAAGTTAATCTTAAATTCACCCTTTAAAACCATGTCCTAGTGGTCCAGGATCATTAGTAACTGCATGAACAGGTAAGCTAAGTGAGGTTGGCTATGGCTGATTCCAAGACATTAGAAAAATAAAAGGTCAAGTTGGGAGATAACTCAGACCTTTGAATGCTTCAAAACTCCGAGGAGTCATCAAGTTCTGAATCCAAGAGTTACACAGAATGAAACAGTTTCTTACAACACCACTCAAATGAGAAAAGAAATCAGACCAGCAGAAGACTGCTGGCAATGGCCACATGACATAACATGCTTCAAGGATTTGGTAATCTCATCCTTTCCTCCTCTTACTCCCAGCCAAATGGACACTTCCAAACTTGTGTCCTTTGTTCTGACCACAATACCCCAATTTACTATTGCTGCTATATATCATACATGGGCATTCTGTTTTTTTCTTTTCAAGCATATTATTTTATATTGGGGCAGAGCCGATTAACAATGTTGTGATAGTTTCGGGTGGACAGTGAAGGGACTCAGCTGTACATATATAATACACGGATGCGCTGATGTTTCTTCAACCATACTCAAAGCTGAACTCATGACTCATATTGCAAAGCCTTATCTTCATTCTTCTGTGCTTTATCTTGGTTGATGCCATAATATTCCTACCAGTTTGGGCTGTATTCTGGATAATCTTGGAGGACACAACGCATTTATGAAGGTCCTTAAAAGTAGAAGGGGGAGGCAAAAGAGGCTAAAGTCTCAACTCACTGTTGCTGGCTGTGAAAGTAGAGGAAAAAGTTCATGAGCCAAGGAATACGGGCAGCTTCTAAAATCTGAAAAAGGCAAGGAAAGATTCTACCCCAGAACCTCCAGAATGCAGGGAAAAGTCTGGCCTACACCTTGACTTTAGCCCAATGTAGGACTTCTAACACACAGAACTGTAAGATAACCATGTATGTTGTTTTAAGGCATTAAGGTCAGGTTAATTCATTACAGCAGCCACAGAAAACTAAAACACACTCCTAGAGCACGTCTTTTCTCTCTGAGATGCAGGGCCTTACAGAGAAAATAATACTTGCAAATGACAACCATAGAGGGTTGTACAAATCAAAATAGGTGCCAAAAATATTCTAATTGTTGCTGAAAATGTCTGCTTCAAAGTACTTTCTTTACATCCACCTCATTCATTCTTTTAAGATGTGCAGACACTGTCAAATGTGCCAGCATTAGGAATGCAAATCTGAATAATGAAAATTCCCTGTTCTCAAGAAGGTTATAAGGCATTAGGGAAGACAGAAAAGTTAATAGAAGATAAGGAAGTAACATGATGCTTACAATATCCAGTACATATAGGTGGCCTGGGAGCATGTAGGAGGAAGATCTAACCAAGTTGTGGGTCCAGGGAAAGGCTCTCAGAGGAAACGATGACTAAGTTGAGACCTCTAAGACAAGTAAGAAATAAAATAAGTGTCTGTGGGGAGGCGGTTGGGGGCAACAACCAAGCAAAGGAAAAAAGTATATGCAAAGTCCTAGAAGCAAAAATGCACAGGTACTTCAGAGGAAAAGCAAGTACTCAGTGTGGCTGGATCATAGACATGGAGAGAGAGTAATGGGGAAAGATAAAGCAACTGAGGTATGCAGAGCCCAGACTATGAAAGTCATGTAAAACATTCTACTCTTAATGAAAAGCAACAGGGACATAATGAAGGGTTGAAAGAGGTAATCCACTGGTTTGGAAAGCAGAAAGTGAAGCGAGGCAAATTAGAGGAAAGAAACCACATGAGATCGTTTTGACCTATGTCAAAAGTAAAGGCATTCTCAGGACTTTCCTGACAGTCCAAAGACTCCATAATCTCAATACAGGGGACCCAGGTTCAATCCCTGGTCAGGGAACTAAGATCTTACATACCACACAACATGGACCAAAAAAAAAAAAAGACACCAATTTCTTTAAGGAAAAAAAGTTAAGGCATTCTCCATTTGCTCACTCATTCTTCCATTTCAACTAATACTTTTCTAAAGCCTACTACTGTCCTTGTGCTAGGCACCAGGAGTAAGAAGGATAATGCCTGCCCCGGTAGAGTTTAGAATGTTTTGCAGGGAGACACTTATTAACCAAGAAGAAATAACAGGACAGGTAATTAATGAGATATGGGAAGTGAAGAAAAGATGAATCAAAGATGACATTTAATTTCTCTTTTGGGCAACTAAGTAGCTGGTGGAGCTGTTTACTGAGATGAGGAACATTAAGGTAGAACAGGCTCATCTGTGGGTAGATGATGAGCTTTGTTTTGGATGTTCATTCATAGGACATTTACTGTCTGATGAGGAAAAGAGCAGCTATCTATGTGACATGTCCTGTAGAACCCTGAACACAAAGATCAGGAAAGGAAGAGAAGGATGTCAACAGGGAGCAGGTAGGATTTACTCTTCTACCATGATAAGTACAGATGCTTACCTCAAGTGACTATATACTCTTTCAATGGCAAGTATTTACTTAGTATCTGCTATGTGAACGCAGTGGACAGACAAGAGACTAAGCCTGTCCTCAAAGAGTTTATATCCCAACGATGCCTGCCAGAAATGTGTAGTACCACATACATATTCAACATGCCTGCCAAGGTGTCTGCTGCCAGAGGTTGCACCCTCATGTCTCCTCTTGGGGCACTCCATGCTTCTAGGTAAATAATTACAGCTGCACATGCTGCTCCAGGAAGGAAATTTTGCTGATCACAAGGACGAAATAAGGACACCTCAATTCTGGTTCCAGATCCTTTCCTTAGTCTTTGTGTCCTGGGACTAGAAAGTTTGCTTAAATCAGACATAACATGGCATAATACCAACCTTCTAGGAGGCCTAATTATTTTTAAACGTGTGCAGACTTATATTGCTCATAGGTGAAAGCTTTCTGAAAAGTTTCATTGGGTAGTATTATAATATTATCCCATATTCTTTCATAAGCACTAAAATAAAGTATTAGAAATGGCATATATTGGGAATTTTAAGCAAAATCTTACAGTTACGGAGTGATATTATATAAAAGGACTTGGAAGGCTGCAAATGAACATGTCTTCTTTGTCTTAAATCCTCTCCTTGACCCCCAGAAGCCTGGCAATGTGACAAATCTTGATCTGATAGAAAAAATACTGGGTTATTTTGGGCTCTTCTAATAACCTTAGAAGCACAGACTTGTAAAAGAACAAATGCTACAGAAACTAAGGTTAAAGGATTTAAGTATAAAAAGGACAAGAATATAAAACATGTAGCTACCTAGCCCTTGCAATTTTGAAGGTGTAAGACCCATAGGGCCTACCTATAAGGATAAAAGGTTTTAGATTAAGGAGTTTCAGAGAGAAAGTCACCTCCTGTGGACTGGAAAATGAGATCTGGGAAAGGGAGACACAAGCTATGCTCTCTTGAGTGAAAGGAGAGCTGATCCCTGGTTCCTGACAGGTACTGTGGAAATATTTTACACAATCGTTGCCATGCGGCAGTGCAATCCATGTGTTCTCAGACAGTCCCCACTCCAGCATCTGACAAGGAGTAAATAATCTGAGCTAGGGCCTACTGCCCCAGAAACAGTGATGAGGCACAACTCCATATGCAATGGTGATGGCAGGGTGGTGGAGGAGACACACAACTCCTCTGCTTTTGCACATGAAATGTGGAGACGCAATCCTGGCTGGCACAAAGAGGATAGACAGTAGTTAGGAATCACAGTACCACATCCCTAGCTTACACAATGGACAGATGGGATGCATGGTAGCATTATGTGATCTGAGCTAAAGGAGTCTGAACAGCAGTGAGTAATATCTTCAGATATTATCTGAAAATATCTTCACAAAGTTTTTTATCCCAAGGCCCAGTAATTGGGTCCCCCAGGTGGGAGGCCCTGCCCACAGATACTCTCCGATTGTTTTCTGACCCTTAGGTGCTGCCTAGGGCTTCAAACAGACCAGGCCAGGGTACAATATTTTCTGAGGCACAAGATCTATAAAAGTCTGGTACTTGCCTACCCAGACTGAGTGGTACAGGGCAAGGGCAGAAAAGGCCAGAAACATATAGTTGCACAAACTAGTTTAGTCACACTCATATGAAACACTGAAATAGATAATGTATGTAAAGTATTTAGCTTAGAGCTTGGTTCTTAGTGCTAATAACACCAAATAGTATTACCCACTCACACAGATATATTCATGTAAAGATAAGAACACCTATCTTGACTGCTCTGGAGAAGGCCAGATGGTCACTCTGCTTTCTGGACCGAAAGAAGGTCAAGGGTGCTGGGCCCAGAGAGGCAGGGATTACTCTTAAAAAGGTCACTTCAGCAGCAATGTAGACATTGCAGGGAAAAGCCAAACCAAGGGACTATAATTTAAAGATGTTTACTCTTTTTATACCCAGCCAAAGATGGGCAAGGCAGGAGCCAGAAAGCAGGGAAAAGAGTACGGGGCGCTAATAGCACCATGGACGGCAAACAGAAGGGGCCAAGGTGGAGCAGTTTTCTGAGGCAAAGACTCTACACTGAGCCCCTGGGTCTACAGGAGGGACCTTTCAAGACATCCTCCTGCATGGGACCTCCTGCATGCCATTCACCCCAGTTCCTACTCCATCCTTGTCAGAAGGCCTAGCATGAACCGAATCCCTCTTTGTCCTCAATCTCACATTCTGGTTTATCCTCTCTAGCCTTCCTACACCTGTGTTTTCTTAGCTGATGCCCACTTCCATTAACCCCCAAAGCCACCGTTTCAGATCCTCAGCCAGCCTTGTAGCAAGAGGAGTGTGTCTTCGCCGTGGGGCATCCTAAAGGGATAGTTTGGCTCCTGACACCTACTTCACACATCCAGTTCTGTTCTGGCACAGTCAACATAAAACAAATGCCTACTCTGAGCATACTTGGGCTCCTTGCATTTTGTCTCCAACAGAAAGCACAGCATTTAATAATCTTGTTTTACTTAAGATAATGCCATTCTTAGACAGCTAGGAAAATGACTTCCTTAAAATGCAGTCGTTTTACCTTGTGGCATCCACTCACAAATTTACTCACTCTCACAATAACGTTGCACAACATAGAACATATGCTCTTGAAAATGACACTTGAAAGTGTGAAAATGGAAATGTTAAGTGAAATATGTAAATGACTAATATGATAACAATGATATAAAGTGAAAGCAAGTGGGCCAGAAATCAAAGAAAAATAAAATTTTGGATTAACTCTCTAAATGGGCAACAGTCTGATCCCTGTTATGTGAAAACATACCTCTCACCATTAGGCCCCACTCTGTTGATTAATTTTTCCATGGCTTCCTCTGTTTCCTTCAGTTTTTCTTGCAGTTGAACAAGCTCAAAATTGGCTGAAAAATAAGCATCAATCTGAGAACCATCATATACAACTCCTTAAGCTCTTTTCTGAAACACAGCTGGCTGTGACACCCTACAATAATCCAGGCTGGTCCTGAGACTCAGAGAAGAGACTGACAGTCTCTGCAGCTAATCCAGTCAGGACACAAAGGGTACTGAGGTCTAGGTACCAAAATCTAAAGGATACACGTTTAGAAACTGATGAATAAATCACCCTCTCTTACACACAGAAACACAGCAGGACCCGCCAAAGAAACACCTACAAGTGAAAAACACAGCCCTTACACAGTCAGCCAAGAAGAAATGAAGATAAACATCATCTTTCTAATTCAAATAATACTTGAGGATGAAGTACCAAATCTGGTAAAGGTCTTCAGAAAAGGTATTAAAAGTCTTGAAATGAGCACTAGTTCATCTGTGCCTAAGATCTGAAAACATAACGAAGATGACAATTTAATTCTTCAAAAGGAAAATACTTGAGCTAGGGCTGACATTCCTGGTCCCAGGTTTCCTACTTCAGTCGTCTGTGGTTGAACTGGGTAACCTTGCCCCCAGTCTTCTCAAAAAAGGTCAGAAAGGAGCACATCTATTGAAACTAATGTTAAGGTCCGAAAAGTAAAATAAAAAAGTAAATCACTCAATCAGTACATGAAATAAACTTTAAAGCAATAGGAAAATAAAATGTTGTTCATGTCTTTCTGTTTCATATCTGAGCGTCATCCTACACAGATATATTTAGAGGGTCACTATAAAATATAACATTTCAAAGGCTTTTTAGTACTTTTATAACATATTCTTCTGCATCCAATTAACACCTGTGCCATGTAAATGCTTGGGTTATTTTTATTGTGTGTATGATTCAAAATCAAAGTGGAAAAAGTTGATACAACTGCTACTATATCATAAGACAGCTGCTCTTAGGAATTCATTTTATTCACTTCTTTCTGTTTTAAATGCATTATGTGACATTATGAATTTGCTACTCTTTAGCTCACAAATATTTTTTAAAAATTTTATGATGTGTTTACCATCACTTTTGGTTAGACACTATCTCAATTAAGAATACAGCAAGGATTGCAGTCACTTGAATCTGAATATTTAAGATTTCAGGATACAGAAGCCACTGGGATATCTATTTTCACAGTGAATCCAGAGTAAATGCAAACAGCAACTATGGCTGAGGGCAGATGCTTTAGTGGCGCAGACTTTCTTCATTTGGATGACGTCTTTTAAAAAACCTCTGATGAGGCTTCACTATCCACAGGATAGTTTGGCCTCCAAGGCCTTCAACAATACAGCTTAACTGACCTACTCTTCATGCCTTCTTACGCACAGCTGCCCTGTTTCAGGCTGTGTCTTACTCAAGCTCCCCATCAGGCCTTCTCCACAGCTAGACACGATTTCCCAGAAGGCTTTCACCAACTCCCCTTTTTCCAGGCAATAAACTTTTCACCAGTTATATTTTCCTAACATTCATCCTAGACTATAAATTCTCAGAGCGAGGAGCCATGCCATATACATTTCATTTTTCCAGAGAGCACAGAATATGCTAGTTGGTCCATAAATATTTGATGATCATGTTTCAAGAGTCAGAATATTAAACTCTATCCCTAGATCTAATAACTGACTTTGGCAACTGACTTGATCTCACTGCCTCAGTTTTCCTCTATGTGAAATAAAGAGATTTGCTGCCAATACTCTGAAGTCTGGAAATGACAAGAAACCTGTCCTAAGTGTAAAACATTAATTTGTAATATATGTTAACAAAAAACTGAACTGACAGTTCTGTACTTTTCATAACAGCCTGTCCCTTAAAAGCCCAATATCAACATGGAAGCTTTTGAGAATTCCCAATGTGTGTGCGTTAATCACTCAGTCGTGTCCAACTCTTTGCAACCCCAAGGACTACAGCCCATCTGCGGAATTCTCCAGGCAAGAATACTGGAGTGGGTTGCCATTTCCTCCTCCAGGGGATCTTCCTGACCCAGGGATCGAGCCTGGGTCTCCCCCACTGCAGGCAGATTCTTTACCATCTGAGCCACCAGGGAAGCCAGCTAAGGTACAAACACCATCATATTAAACTGGGACAACTTTTGAGAAATGCTTTTAAGGCACATCCACAGACTGTCACTCTGGCTGCTTTACAGCTGTCTGACTCAATGGAACTTATGAAACACTGAAAGGGCACTTACTAATTTTCCTGTGGGTACTTCCAGGGGCGGCAGTAGGGCACGTCCGATCCTCTGGAGTGCTCTTCCCCCTTGAGAGCTGAGAAGTGAAGGAGGCACAGCACATCAGCAGCAGCTCAGAACCTCAAAGTCACGGAACCCTCACATTAATGGGAAAAAAAAAAGGTTGGGAGAAATCAAACCAAACAGCAACATCAGAGAAACATCTCAAAAAACAAAGCCAACAGAAGGTTCCCAAGTTAAAAGTTACTAAGGCACAAGAAAACACTCTCTTCACAAGTGATGTGCTTTGCCCATGCTCATTGAAGACTCAACCTGGGCTGCCAGTAGAATTGCTAGGCAGGGGAAAGGTGGCCTCGTACTCCAGTTAGGAGGGCAAAGTGAATCTGCTTCCTCTGCTTGCAGTGCTAAGGCCCACGGCCTGCCTAGACATGGAACTTAATTAGGAGTCTACTTTCAAAAGGACCCAAATCATGTCTCCTCAGAGCTAGGAAATATCAGGCTTAGTTTCAGGATGTGGCAGTTCTGTTTCAGGAGGATCACTACTATTAGGACTTCCCTGGTGGCTCAGATGGTAAAGGGCCCGCCTGCAATGCAGAAGACCTGGGTTCAATCCCTGGGTCAGGAAGATCCCTTGGAGAAGGAAATAGCAACCCACTCCAGTATTCTGGCCTGGAGAATTCCATGGACAGAGGAGCCTGGCAGACTATAGTCCATGGAGTCACAGAGTCAGACATGACTGAGTGAATTACTACAAACGACGTGGTGCTGGCACAGTCACTACTTGGCCTCACAGTGATTGCCTGGAAATCACAGTGCCAACCCTAATGATAAAGTTCTTCTTAGAACATCTTTATGCCTTTACAGCTTGCAAAGATGCCCAGTCAAGAAAAAAACCAGGTAGGGCAGCAAGAGGGCAGGCTTTGAACTTTATTGCTCAATAGATTAGGAATTAGAAGGATCCAGGTTCAAGCCCTGCTTCTACATTTTTAGTTGTGAATTCTGGGGCAAATTATTTGGGTTCTGAGTGAAGATTTTCTCATCTATGAAACTGAGATAACAGCTATCTTAAGAATCTTCTAAAGAAGAGGCAAAATTTAAAGAGACGGTAGATTTGAAAAAGGGCTCCGAAATACAAAGGGTCTTAATGCTGACAATGATTCTTATTATGATGATAATAGATTTTCATTGATGTAATACAATCAGGATGATTCCACTTACCTTAAACAGAATGTACAGTATATATAAAAAAATTCCAAAACCATAGATGGGAATAATTTGCCCCATCAGGCCTCTTCCACCACTTCCTCCTCCAGCACCTCCGCCTGATCCCTTGGCCTTTGCAAAGGCTTCTGCAAGGTGAGACCTCTGGAAACGAGCCCCAGGGGTCTGGCCATCTGAGGGTGCCTGCTGCTGATGCATCACAGGTGGAAATCGACCCAACTTCCCTGAGAAAATAGATTAATCAGTCTTTATTTCTTCTACTATTTTAAATACAGCTATTTTGAAACATGTCACATACTGAGATACAAATAATAGAAGCCAACTCAAACAAGTTTAAGAAAAAACTGGAACTTAGATTATAAGGATATACAGGTATCACTAGAGTATCACACAGATAATAAACACTATGTGGCAATCTCTAGCTGTTCACCAAACCCATTTTCTCTTCCTTTTTTGGTCCACAGGTAGATGACATTTTTCAGCTTCCCATACTTAAATGTGGCCATGTGACTGAGTCCCAGGCAAAGCAATGTGAATGACAGGTGTCAGTTCAAGGCCTGGTCTATACAACTTCTCATGTATTGAATTCTGTGTTCATTTCCTTTCTTCAGGCTTGATGCTGACACCGAGGGAGGCATTTGGGAGTCAAGTGTTGAAAATGGCAGAGCCTCTATCAGCCCAAGTTCCTGAATAACTGTGTGGCACAGAGCCTTCCAGTGTCACCATCCCACCAACTTAGCACCATCTGGACCTGTTCATGTGAGTAAAAAATAAACTTCTATTGTGTTAGGGCCATGATATACTGTGGAATCTATCTGTTAAGAGCAGTTAGCCACTCCAACTAATACATGTAAGGAAATGCAATATACATAATTTTGGTTTCAGAAGAGAACACAACTGGAAATTGGAAAGCCATCAGGATTCAAGACAGCTCCTCTCACACTGTACCTCAATCATTCTCCCTCTCTGTGGGGCCAGAGGCTTTTTTCCCCTGTTACTTTGTTTTTTCTCTGTTACTTTGTTACTAGCTTCTCCTTGAACATGAAGATGTTCACCCCCAAACCCTTCCATTTGCATGTCCTTCAAGGGGTCAGCAGAGATTGGTCATAATTCCACATTCCCTGCAGGAAGATTCTGAGGGCTCAGCTTGGGTAGGTATGTGGCACTTTCTAATCAGCTGCAGCTGAGCAGACAGGATTCATGTGCGACAAACAGGGTCACAGGAGCTCATCTCTGTGGGTGGAAGAACAGGGCTTAGAGAAAGGAGCACACATCAATTTTCTCACACTGTTTTCCTCCGTTGGGACAGCCAAACATTAACACCGTCAAGCCTCCTCCAAGTCATAGGTGAGAAAGAAAGGAAGAACATCTCTTCAAAAGCCATGTAAACAGGCTTCTGTGGATAAACCACTGACAGAAAAGACTAAGGAGCAGAAAGACTTCCTGATTCAGGCTCTGAGAATACAGACTATATGGGGGAAAAAAAAAAAAAAACTGGTGGATTTGATTTCAATAAAATGGTTGATTTCTGCTCAATAAAGAATACCATGAACAGGGTTAAGATAGATGACAGACAAGGAAAAGCTTTTGCAGTATCTAAACTTGACAAGGGATTAAACCTCTGGAATAGACAAGGAATTCCTACAATTTGATATGAACATCAGGAGAAGCCCAATAGAAAAATGCCCAAAAGATATGAGTAGTGAACTCACAGAAAGAGAAGCTCAAACAGTAAACAAGTATATTAAGAGATGATCAAAGTAAAACGAATGAGAAAAATACCAATTTAAACAATGAGATAGCACTATACCTATTAGAGGGGCTAAAATCAGAATGGTGGGTAACAGCAGGTACTGGCAAGATGTGGGAGGCAAGCACACTTGTGCACTATGGGTAAGAGTGCAAACGGACGCAGGCATTCTGTTAGGTGATACAGCCGTACTTAGCGATGTTAAGGGTATATCCTACGATCCAGTGATCCCACACTGATGGATAAGTTCCAGACAAATTCCCAGATAAGGCTGTCTAAATCTGAATTCAAGCAATAGGCTTTATAGACCTGTGTGAGAATGTTCACTGTGATGATGTTGTAGTAGGCAGCCTGAAGGAACTTTGATCTCCATAACTGTTAGAATGTAAAATCAAAATGGAATAGATACAAGCATGGAATTCCATGTAGCTTTCAGAAAACACACTTTACATGAACCTACAGAAGCATAAACATATTTTTAAAAGCACAGCACTGAGTTAAACAATAAATAAGCAAATACCATGTGTAAGTTAGACACACCATAATTATACTACATATCTTTCAAACAAATATGTAGGCATAAGAACATAAAACAGACACATCAGAGTGGGCGCATGTGAACAGGAGAAAGGAACAGGCATACAGACTGAAGATAAAGGATTAAAAAGAAAATAATGGAATAAGAAAGCAAGCTTGCACTGATGATGTTAATCAGGTGTGATTAACTTAGGACTATCTTTAAGTCAACTTGCTGCTCCTGAGGTGAGAGAGAGTGGGTGGGCAGGCAGAGAGTGAGACAGCTAGCCACTGGCCAGGAGCTGCCCGCGGCTTTGTATCTTCTCTCAGACAAGCTCCACCCCAATAACCCTCTTTTCCCTCCTGTTAATGACTTTGGAGGACATGGAAATTATGAGAAGAAATGCTTCTTTTTAAGAGGAGGTCAGCAACAGAAGCACAGCTTCAGACAACAGATGAAAGACAGCAGGTCACTACCCCTCGTTCCGGGTGCAGTGCTCATGCACACACTCGTTCAGTCGTGTCCGACTCTGTGACCCCATGGACTGTAGCCTGCCAGGCTCCTCTCTCCATGGGATTCTCCAGGCAAGAATCCTGGAGTAGGCTGCCATTTCCTCCTCCAGTTGATCTTCCCAACCCAGGGCCCGAACCCAGGTCTCCTGCATTGGCAGGTAGATTCTCTACCACTGAGCCACCTGGCAAGTTTATTCTGGATGCTGGTGACTGTTTTGCTACTAAACTGTCAAGGATCTTAATAGCTTAAATAGTGACTACTAGCTTTAAGGCTATCATGCACTTTGAACAAATACTTAGCCAACATCCAAAAAGCTAACCATCTTCTTGAGTGAATCTGATATATCTGGTGGTTAGTGTAGATTTACTATCTGTAGTAATATGTTGTTGAGTTCCATCTTACTGTACTGAGAACACCATTTTCAAAACTTTGCATAAAACAAAATATAAAAAATTAAAACCAAGTAATGGCACAAAAGGCATTATTTTGCATTTCTAAAATTGAAAAATGATGATGATGCTAAACATCACACATTTCCCTCCCCCCAAAACTTATACAGCTCCATCAACCAAGAAGATGTACTGGACAGCTATTATTACTCTGTACTGTAGGTAGGAAAGGAGGAGAGCCATAAGTGAAACAGAAACAATGGTTCCCACACGAAGCGAGGCTTTTAAAAAGTAGTATACCCAAAACAAACAGCAAAAAATGAACAGAGTATCATGGATCTTATTACCAGACAAACTAAATGTCTAAGTACTGAAAAGAATGCCAAAAAAAGGAAAGGAGTCAGACGGGCTCAATCACTGGAGGGAATGCGATTGAGAAGAGAAGAGGAGCAAAAGCACAGTAGGAGAAGAGGAGCGTGAGCAATGAGAAAAGGACGAGAACAAAGAAAGAATGAACAAGGCCAACTACCGCATCCTCTCAGGAAAGTAACAGGAGACAAGGAAAGCAAAGCACGGAGATTAAATGCTAACTTGTGTCACATGAATTTAATACTGTGGGTCTAGGATCAAGGAAGTGATTTAACAAGAAGGGTGTTTGAGGGGGATTATTCTAGCAGTTGAGTAAAGACCAAACACAGAAAGAAACTAGGGTCTAGAAAATCAGCAAGAAGACAGCTATACCTATAGAAAGGAAAGGATGGATCCAAGGGCTTTTACCTTGTAATGATCTGCAGTATTTAACAATGAATGATGAGGGCAGTTAAGAAAACTTGAAGGTTGGTTTAAGATACCAAGAGAGAACAACAAGGAAAACTGAGAGGGCTTGTGGTTAGGGGAAGACTGAACACCTATTTTCACATGTTAAACTCTAGGTGTTGGTGGCACATCCAGAGGAAATATTTATTTGATTGTAGTTAGGCTTGAGAAGAAACTCTGAGCTATCTAAATGACATAGCTAATAAATAAAATTAAGTTGAGTGAACAGTCCCCATGCCAAAAAAAGATGGAGGGATATGTGAAGTTATGTGCAAAAGGAGCAAGGAAAAAAAAAACCCTGAGCTGGTCAAAGGCGGCCAGAAGCAAACCAGTATCAGAAAAGTCAAAGGAGGATAGACATGAAAGCAACTGAGAAATCTAGAACAAACTGATAAAAGACTAATAGTAGCTATCCCTGCTTTTAGACACAACGTATCCTTGGGAAAAGGATGGCCAGCATATGAAATCCTGACTGTCCATCTGTTTCGATAATAATGGCAGTAACAGAAATCAATATGATACAAAGGATCATAGAAACTTCAGAGTCAGAAGGAGCCTTAAAAGCCATTCAGTCTTTCAAAAAGCGCTATGAGGACAAGACATCCATAGAAAAGAATGAGTTGGACCCCCTGCCTCACACCACATTAAATTTCTAAAAATTAACTCAAAATAGAGACTTAAATATAAGAGCCAAGACCATAAAAGTCTTAGGAAAAAAACATAAACATAAATCTTTGTGACCTTAGATTAGGGAACATTTCCTTAGATATGCCTCCAAAAGCACAAGCAACCAACGGAAAATTAAGTGGGCTTCATCAAATATTAATGCTTTTGTACTGCAAAGGACACCATTAAAAAAAAAAGTGAAGACAATCCACTAAATGAAATAAAACATCATATCTCATAAAGGTCAAGTATCCAAATATATATGAAGAAGAAATGTAAAGTAAATAAATCTACAATCAGATACAACTTTACACCCACTAGGATGTTATAATCAAAAAGACAAGATAATAAAAAGGGTTGGTGAGGATGTGGAGAAAGGAACTATCATACTCAGCTGGATGGGAATGTAAAATAATGCAGTTGCTTTGAAAAATAGTCTGGCAGTTCCTCAAAAAGGTAAACAGTTTCCTTATGACCCAGCAATTCTACCCAGCCTCTTCAGGCTGCTGCCACCAGAATGCCACCAAAATGTGCTTACACAAAAAATTATGTACAAATGTTTAAAGCCAGCAT